TGTTTGACTTGTACAGTCAGCAGATCCCCTTGGGAGAAGTCAAAACCTAAAATTAATCACCAAGTTTAAACCCTCATCTGAGGACCCAGTCTACTTTTTTTGAGCACAGAAGGCACTAAAACTAACACAGATATTAGGAAATAAAATTAGCATTAGATTAGGAATTACATTAGGAAAAAACTCTTTACTGTGAGGGTGGTGATGCACTGGCACAGGTTGCCCAGAGAAACTGGGTGTCCCATCCCTGGGAGTGTTTAAGATCAGACTGAACGGGGTTCTGAGCAACCTGGTCTAATGGAAGGTGTCCCTGCCCATGGCAGGGGGTGGAACAGGATGAGCATTAAGGTCCCTTCCAATCCAAACCATTCTGTGATGCTATGTTTCTACATGGACATCTCTACACAATTATTACTGTATTTAGCATGAGCATAAGGTACTGTGCCTGATAAGCCACCTAAGACAGGACTTTGGCCTAGAGAATCAGGAGTTCAAGACACAGATTTTAATATGAGTGGTTTTGGGCAAGTCACTTCTGCAGATTGAGAAATAGTGATTAAATGTCACACAAAGGCTGGCTGCTTTCTCAAACGCCCTAGCACTTACTCCCCAAGAACAATATATGAGAACTCTGCACAACTGCTGTTTGTTTGCCTCTCTGTTTAATGTAAGGAGGAGGGTAACTCACTGTCAAGTACACATTGTTCTCATAGGTCAGCTCCTCGAGCAGAGGGAACTGTTTCAGAGCAGTTACATCTTCCAGTTTGTTATTGTTGCAGTTCAAGACACGCAGATCAGGGAGGCTTAGGCTGTTGGGAAATTTGTCCAGTAAATTATCAGAGAGATCAAGTTTCTGCAGGTGCCTCAGGCGGGAAAATAAGCGAGGGTCTAAATCTCCAGTCTTCAATTGCAGCTTGGACAGGCTGAAAACAAAAAAAAAAACAATTACACAAAAAAACCAAACCAAAACACACACACACACACACAAATGAACAAACAAAAATAGACAAACAAAAACACCACAAAAAACCAACCCCAACCCCCCCAAACAAACCATGAACTATCTTCAGCTCAGTGGAAGAACAAATGCTGATTTCATGGCATAGACAATCCAGCACAACTCACTGGGCACAACTAAACTTGCTTTTTCTGGTGACAGATTCTGGATTGGGAGCACACTGTGGGATAGCTGATGTGTCTGAGCTAATAGCCACCATCAGAGACTCAGGTCTGCCAAAGTACAATTAACCTGCAATTCAGATAATCTCCTAGGGGTAACTGAGCTGGATGGGAGCAGTAAATCACCTGAAAAGTTCTTATTTTATAGAAAAAAATACTACACCTCTGAAAGGTTTGGTATTTTATTCCTGTGCAATGTTGATTCAACAAGACAAGCTGTGGCAATTCAAAACACTACACCCTCAGTCTACCCTGTCCATAGGACACACTACATTCATTATTTCACAGTTCAGGCCAAGTGCAGAGTGTGTCCCCAAATAATCTGGCTGTTTTCAAAGAACTAACTTGACCAAAAAAAAGCGATTTTTAAATTTCTTTTATAGTGAGTTTTGCTGCAAAAGCTTCCAACGATAAATGTAGAAATTCACCTAACAAAATCCCAAGACTGCCACCAAAACAGAAGAACTCTGTCCTGAAAGAGGAAGTGGTACAATATTGGTGAGGGAAAAAGAAATCTCTCTTCTCTGTAAGAAGTGAAAACTGCACATTATAAGCAGGGTTAGATCACTTAGGTGAGCTCCAAAGGGAGCTTCCAGTCCTGGCAGCCAACATCTCTTGAGGGCACAAACTTGAGTTCCTTTAACAAACAGAATCTCTGTCTCTAATGACTAGTTAAAAAACCAGGTTTCTAGATATTAATGAAGTGTGAATAAATGAGACAAATAAATCCAGAAAGCAAGATCCTTTCTCCTACACTTGCCATCTTAGAAGTGTAACCAGCCAGTCAGAGCTGGTAACAAAGGTTGAGGACAACCCAGCTGGCTGCAGAGCTGTGACTGTGGTGTCCTTTTGGGGAAAAACTCAATGGTATTCCCCAAAGAGACTTTCTGAAATACAACCCTTCAACATCACAGTAAGAAGCTGCATGGAGAAAGCCACGCTCCAAAAATCCACAGCTTCAAACATCTCCCCACCACTCCGTTACCCAGATTACTGCAGCTGATGCTCCACAGAGAAACCTGTGAGTTTCTCACTAAAAATAATTACTTTAGCACAAGGCAAAATGAAAGAAATAACTTTAAAGAGTACATGTGAAACCCAAACAACCTGACATCAGCAACAAAAACAACAAAGGAGCCAGCCAGAAACTGGCCAGCTGAGCCACTTGGATGGGCCAGCTCTGGAACAGTAAAATTCCACTGTGTTAAACATTTGGAAAGATACAGATTTGCAATGACCTCCGCTAAGGACCTGAGTGACAAAACTGTTTTTAGTGGTTTTTAAGTGATTCAGAATTTATTCTCTCCCTCTGCAATGTTTGAGGTAGTAAGATAACTGGATTTAGAAAAGATGGAACATGATGGAGAGAGACAAAAATGGAAGGGAAATAATGCCAAAATTACTTAAAAAACCCTCTGAAATCCATGCTGGAATATTCTCTTATTCACATTAAGTAATTGCTGGCAAAGATGCAAGGGCTTTTGGGGTAGGGAATGATACCTTGGGGTTAGGAAATCAGGATCCAGCCTTGAGCAGTTTCACAGAAAGAATGGCAGCAAATCTACAGTAGAAATGGCAAGGAAAGGTGACATCTGCCAATAACCTCTCCAGTGAGCACAGTACCACCACTGCTCACTGATCCTGCACTGGGAATGCCCTCTCAGTTCTGTGCTTTGAAACTTCATTTTTTAAAGTAAGAAATGTTTAGGGGAAGAAAGACACACAGACAAAAAAGCATTGCCAGGTTGAATTCATCTGGAAGTTTCCATGGGCCTATCTGCACTTACTTCAGCGTCTCTATCTTTCGGAGCCTCGTAGATCTTGGAACTGCTCTTTCCAAAAGAAGTTCTGTAGTAATTTTTGACATTTTCAATCTCCACCTCTCTGCTGGAATCACTAATCAGTCAGCTGTAGGATGTCTTCTGGTTACCTTCATGATAAAACAAATGGGAATAAGAGGAAATGCTTTCAACAGCTCCAAGAGAGGGAAAAAAATTATGAGGTTATCTACTGATTTTGCTGCTGTGTTGGAAGTCACCTTTTTTACTTGGTTGAAATGAACATGGCAGAGACTATTATTAGACTGGGCACAGGCTCCCAGGACACTGATCCAATCCATCTCCAGAACAACAGGGATACATCCCGTGGCTGTTGGAGTGACAGACTTGCTGCAGGTGGAAGCTGTCCATGAGTGATGGCACACAGGACAGGACAGGACAGGACAGAACCACAGGTACCTGCTTGTGCCTCTCCTGGGCTCTGCTCCAGGAATTCCAATACTCTTTCAAACAAAAAGCAGCAGTAAGAGTCAATACACCTGCTGTGGATGTTTTTCTCCCAAGAAAGTGACACTGCACTCACTAACTTGACCAGTTGGACAGACTCTTGGCTGATGACTTCTACATACACAAAAATTTTGGAAAACTGAATTAATCAGCAGAATTTTAAACACATACCAATCAAGGACATCATTTCCTCATCAAGGAAAAAAAAATCAATAGCATTAGAGAATGCTGTCTTGTTGGTGATCAACTGATGTTTCAATACACAGACACAGAGGGATATGCTGATATTTGGAATAACAATGCTGACAGGGCCAAAAGAGCTCCATGAAATGACTGGTTCAGGGCTTCCCACTCTTCCTGACACAGATTCCAAGGGAGGGAAATAAAAGAGAACAGAGCTCCAAGGCCAGGCTAACTCCTGTCTTTCTGTGTTAGATCAACCCTGCCTAAATGCCACTCCAGCACATCGTGAGGAGCACATGGGGCACTGGGCTGTCCTTAGGTTTGGTTTCAGCAGCACCTATAACATTGTGTGATGAGCAACGGGGCACTGCAATGTTGTATACACTGAAATATTGTATACAAGCACAAAGAGCTGAACTGAAAACCAGTTTAAATAGCAGCTGTGTGGGATTTGATCTTGAAGCCACAGAGCTCTTGCTGCAAGTCAAACCACAGGGTCAGGCTGATTCAACCAAACCTCCCTCAGATCCTGTGCCTATAATAAAAATGTGACACCAGTGACTGTGGATGTTCCCATCGCCCTCTCTTCGGTACACTGATACCCCAGACACAGCTGTGGCACGGCGGGAGCTGCAGGGAAGGCCAGACATGGCGTGTCCCATCCCCACAGCACCGCGGGTGGTGCTGCAGGGGCTACATTCGGTTATCCCGGGGTTCTTTCATTGGGAACTGACCCCTCCTGCCCCACCGCAGCTCTCGGGATGGAGCCCCACAGCCAGGCCCTGACATGACCGTGTTTGCTTGGCTGCCCTGCACCGGCTGGCGCTGCCCCGGGACGCGATGGGCGCGATGCCCCGGGGGTGACATGGCCATGGATACCGGACTGCCTGCACACGCTGCGGCGGCCTCTGGGCCGCGGGGTATCACCGGCTGCGGGCGCAGGCCGCGGCTCCGCCCGTGGGCAGGGCCGGACAGGGCCGGGCGGGGCAGGTGCGACCCGGCCCGAGGCCTCGCCCGTCACCGCCGCCTCCGGACACCGAGCACCACGGGGGCCGGCGCCGGCCTGAGGCGCCCCCGCGGGGCGCGGGGCGTGCGCCGCGCCTACAGCTCCCAGCGTTCCCCGCGGCGCCGAACAGAGGCGCGGGGCCCGAGCGCGCCGCGGGTGCTGCTGGGAGCCCGAGTCCTCCCGCACCCCCCTTCTACCCCCGCTGCCCGGCCGCGCGGCCTGCGCCCAGCCCCGCGGCCCTCACCTGGAAGCGGCCGGGGAGGAGGAAGAGGAGCCGGGGAGGAAGGAAGGGCGGGAGGAGGAGAAGGAGGAGCGGGAGGGGGAGCTGCGTCCTCAGCGCAGCCGGCGGGATGCAGGCGGCGGGCGGCGGCGGAGGGCCGGGCTGCGGCTGCAAGGGGATCCGTTCCTGCCTGCTCTGCGAGGGGCCCGCGCCGGCCGCTCCGCCCCCGCAGGTACCGGGGAGGGGGCGGGCGGCGGGGCGGGGCGGCGGGAGGAGCCGGGGGGCGGTGGGGGCCGCCGGCCCTGGCCCCTCGGGGCGGGGCGGCTGCGGGACCCCCGTGCTGGAGCGGGGCCGCGACCCTGGGACCGCAGGGTCACACGATGGGGACAAGGCAGAGCCCCCCGGCGGCCGCCTCCCCTGAGTATTGGGAATTGTTCACCTCAACAACGCTCAGAAGCCGAGCCGGAGCTCACCTGAGCCTCACGTGTTACATTCACATTCATTTGTTACAGCTTAGCCTTGTGGCCTGCGCGATTTTCATCAACTTTCCTCATTCAACATTTATTGCGATGACAAACCATATCTCTGCAGCAATATCCTCCATTAATCTCCTTATACCTGTGTCCCTGAGGATCATCGGTTCTTCCCTGCCTTTCCAGGATAAAGACATCACTAGGAAAGAAAAGTGGTTTCAAGCAAGCAGCACAGTGATGCTGCAGCTTGAAAAAAAGAGCAGTGAATAGTTGTTCCTCAAAAGGAGCTGTAAAATTTCTCTTGTCTGCAAGAACACTGTACAGTTTTCATGCTGCAATACCAAGGTTGCAGGGGTAAATCACGGAAATATCTTATTGCTTTTTTTTCTTTTCCGTTGATATTTCCACAGGGAGAAGATAATTTCACTTACTGTCCAGCAACAGGCCTAGCTAAAGGAAATGAGCACTCAGAATTTGCTGGCTGGGCATTTCCTTTTCCAGGAGTGTTCCTGGTGGAGGAATTCATTAGTGAAGATGAAGAGTGTGAGATAGTGGAACTGATGGATCGGGATGACTGGAAACCATCACAGTCTGGCCGAAAGAAACAGGTTGGACTTTAGCACACCTGATCTTAGATCCCTCTGGAAAAGGAAAGCTGTTTTCAGTTAAAACCCAAAATATTGAGATGTTTCATTAAGTGTTTTCCTTTGAAAGCCTTTCCTGAAATCAATGGGAAGAATTACCTATAATTTAAATCAACTTCTTGCAAAAATACATGATAGTTACAACCAGCAGGATTTGATGATGTGTGTTCAAGCATTAAAGTTCACACAATGTTCAAGGGAAAGAAGTGGATGTTCAGATTTGGTTTTACTTTATAAATCCAAAGAGATTAATGTAGATTCACTGAGCCCTTTTACAACCTGGCAACCAGGTCACTGGAAGAGATGAGAACAGAACTCTGCAGGAACAGCCTCTCCAAAAAGACTTGTCCTAGATTTTTCCTTTACACTAGCTTTTTCCTCCCTCTTCTCTTCCAACAGGACTATGGACCCAAAGTGAACTTCAAGAAACAAAGGCTGAAAGCTGGCAGCTTTACTGGCTTGCCAAATTTCAGCAGGAAGATTGTGGCACAGATGAAGGCCTGTGCTGTGCTCAGTGGTTTCTTACCTGTGGAACAGTGTAACCTGGACTACAGACCAGAGAGAGGCTCTGCCATTGACCCCCACTTTGATGACTGGTGGCTCTGGGGGGAGCGCCTGGTCAGCCTGAACCTGCTCTCAAAAACTGTGCTCTCCATGTCCTGCGATTCAGAGGACACCATCCAATTATTTCCCCTTTCCAGTAAGGAGGAATTAAGTCCCCCTGCATCTTCCACGCAGACATCAGCATGCAGAAGTCCAGAAGAGGGAACCGAGTGCTTTTTATCCCCAAGGCTGGTTCCGGGGAAGGAGGTGAGTGTGGCCATCCTCTTGCCCCAGAGGTCGCTGGTGGTGCTGCACGGGGATGCCCGGTACAAGTGGAAACACGGCATCCACCGCAGGCACATCGAGCACCGCCGCGTCTGCATCACCTTCAGGGAGCTCTCTGCGGAGTTCAGCGCCGGGGGGAGGCACGAGGAACTGGGCAAAGAACTGCTACAAATTGCTCTTTCCTTTCAAGGGAGACCCGTGTGACCAAGAGGTTGCATTTTGCTGGGAGAGGTGTAAAATGAGGTATGGAATTTGTATGACTCGGTTTATTTCTGAGGTGGGCGTAAGGAAACAGGTGTGTGCAGAGATAAGCTCAATAAAATGAAAATTTAACAAAAAAGTAAAAGGGGTAGGCTTTAAAACCTCCTGGGTAATGGGAGCTTTTAGGCCAAAGTCAGAAATGAGAGGTTGTATCCATTACCTGTGCTGTAACAAAATAGCAAACAACCACTTAAATGACCCAAGAAATTTAGAAAAAAAGCCCTTGACACAGTTTCAGCCCAAGCCCTGGCACAGATTTTAAGCTTTCCTGGCCCATACTTGATGCTGTCACACTGGTTTGAACGTTGCACCAAGCCCTGGGGATATAACTATCCCCTCACCCACCTCAGATAGGTCCTGCAAGAGACCAGGTCTCAGGGGAGGAAGGTAAGCAGGTATCTCTCCACAGACAGTACAAAACACTGAGAACTAATTAATGTAATTATCCTTTGCTGAAGATTCATGCTCTAACAATGAGGATTAATCATAAATTTCATGTGTGACGTGTATCTTCTAGGACCAAAGAGCAGCATTTGCAGAGGGCCAGTGCTGACTCTTCAGGCTTGGACAGAGATCAGACCAAAGGCCTGCACAGACTGTGTTATTTTCTGATCATTTGTCATCTCTGAACCCTGCTGTCAGCTCTCAGTAGCAAGAGTCTGATTTTGGGAATTAGCTGGGCAACAGACTGCAACCCTGGCAGCTATCATTTATTTTCCTGGCACCTCCAGCAGTCAGGTTTGAATCATGCCTCGTACCTAAGATTCAAGCAGTCATTTGCAGCAGAAACTGATCTGAGGCCATATGTCTGCTCTGAACAAACTTCTGTGCTTTTGAAAATGAAGTTGTGCTGTGGAAGAAGCGTGATCCTTTAATAAACATGGTGGTGCCATGACAGCCCTTCAGCACAGTCTCACCTGCAGCAGGAAAACTCCACCTAGCCACCAGCAGGCAGTGCTGCCTGGCTTTGGTTGGTAAGGAAAGGGGACAGATCTCAGCGTCCCTGCACTGCTGTGCTCTGCCCCAGAAGTGCTTCCTCGGCACTGCACAGGATTTGCTGCACACTAAGCACTCCTGCCACAGACACTGCCCTCTGCTTTTCTGCAGGGGAGGGAGCTCTTCACCCAGTACAGCTAGCAGGAAGCAGATGGGTCAGTCAGGATATTTGTCATCAGTTTAAGCCAACAGATACAATCAGAGCCCTTTGTGGGCTGCAACGGGCCAGGTTCAGTTTAGTGCTAATTCCAGCAGGGACCTACTAGCAGGGCTCCCATGGGCAGTCCCAAACTCCAAACCTCCATCCAGGTGGGCTGGTGAGTGTCCTCAAGGTGCTCCAGCAGCAGTTCCAGCAATCACAGCACATCCCCTCTGATGGAACCTCTTCACTGCAAACACAACAGGCAGGCCACATCTACTCACAGCAAGCTCTGTCCCAGGAAATTCCTCATAGGCTGCAACTAGAAGAGGGTAGATTTAGATTAGGTATTTGGAAGAAATTCTTCCCTGCGAGAATGGGGAGGGCCTGGCACAGGTTGCCCAGAGAAGCTGTGGCTGCCCCTGGATCCCTGGGAGTGTCCAAGGCCAGGTTGGAGCAACCTGGTCTAGTGGAAAGTGTCCCTGCCCATGCCAGGGCATAGAAACTGGATGATCATTAAAGTCCCTTCCAACCCAACACATTCTGTGACTGTCCAGCTCACTCCTAAAAGCAAGGAGTGCACTGAGAGCAGCAGCTCCTCACTTTCTCTGCAGCCTGGTGTCCACAGGGCTCAGCAGCGTTGGGAGTGGAATAAACCCAGGACAGCATCTGGAGCTGCTGCTGGAGCAGAGGGGCTTTGTCCCAGCAGGAGGAGGAGCCTGCCAGCCTGGCACAGACACTCAGGAAGGAAACCCAGCACAGGCTGTCAGAGAGGGAGCAAACACTGCACCTGGATCCTCCTCACCCTGTAGATCCAAGCCTCTCCATGGATCTGCTCTCTACTCACCACACTGCAGCAAAGTGTTGCCATTTATGCTTGGCCTTAATTTCCAACACTCCCTTTTACATTTATATTGTGCTCTCAGGCTGCTGAAACACTTTCTGTGCACGTCCCTGCTGCTCCATTCTCTCCACAGTGAAAGCAGGTGATGGATTCTGATGAATCAGATTGCTACAATAACTTACACAGTGTTAGTTCATCTTGTGCTCTGCATTTGCTAGCTGAATTTTTCTGCCTTGATTGAACTATACAGGAAGCTGCTGTTCTTGCCAGAAGATTCTAGCTCTTCCTAGCTGATGTCTTAAATGTGAAAAAATGCAAATAATTAAATACTGAGCCAAAAAGTGAGGGCTTTTTCTTGGTCTTTTTGAAGTCCAAAACTTAATCTAGTCACTACACAAGCATTGCAGTGCCAGTCTTTTGACATTTTTCACCTGTTAAATAGCCTCTTGGGCCTCATCCTTAGATCAAAATACAATTGCACATCCAGCTGTTCAGAATTGCTCCTTAAAACTTTATGTACATTCTCTCCTAAAGACAGAAAACCAGAAAAAAAATGCCAGAAAATCCTGTTATGCAGCATTACAAAAGATTAACAATTTATGGTCAAGTACCACAAAAATCTGAGAAAAGCATGAAGATGTTTCAATCTTAATGAGCTCGTAAATTAATTTTGTCCACTAAGCTGGTATTATTAACAGAAGACAAACTTTAATGGTCTTCCTGTTACAGGAGTTCCTTGTCTCCTTAACCTCCTTGTAGAACACATGCCAAGACCCAGACTCATTAAAAGGAAGTGCATTTAATTGTTATCTCCCTGTGTATTGCAAAAACAGAACGATTATATCTGCCCAAGTTTTTTCTTCAAAAAGTACCCAAGTTAACCCGTAAGAGGATGCTGGAGGACTTAACTTGCCTTTCAAGAAATCAGTCTGAAATCACCAAGAAGCATAAAACTGAGCAAGTTTATCCAGTTTCACACAGCTGGACAATAACTGAGATACATTCGTTATTCTACATTAAATATTGTTCATGCAGAGGTAAAACAAGAGTAGGCAAAGCTAAAATACAGATTATTTTTTTTCTCTTAGCACTCATGGCTGGCACCTCTCTGGGCAGGAAGCAAGCTCCCAGCTGGACACACAAGGATTTAGGGAAATACTGTTCAAATCCAGCCAGTCAATTTGAATTACTGAAAATGCTTTGAGATAGCTGTAGAGAACCTGTGAGTTAATGAGAAAATATCTCTCCTGGCCCAGATGATTTTGATTGCAGCTTGAGGGGGTGTTGAGGAAGCTGTCTTAGAAGTTGAAGCAATGAGATTTAAAAGATAAGGAATCTACAGCAGCAGGAAACTCCAAGACCTTTTGTTTGTTTGCTGGAAGGCAGGAAAAGAAAAGAAAGCAGATTGCGAAAGGCAGGAGGAGCACCTCCACCCCCCAGCCAGCACAGGTAACCTGAGGCAACCTGGGATTGCCCATCCCCACATCCCGGTGGGAGGGAATGGAAGGATGTGGAAGGATGAGGATGTGGAAGGAGGTTCCCTCTGTAGCTGCACCCACACCAGTGCTCTCCAGAAACACTTCCAGGTATCTGAGCGCTTCCAGCAGCCCTCCCTCCGCCCGCGGCTCTCGCACGGTGTGTCCATCGCCCGTTTTCATCCGTCATGCTCAAATCCAACATCACTCCATCTCTCGCGGTCACAAAGTCCCCCGAGAGCCTCCTCTCCACTGAAACGGAGCCAGCCCAGCCCCGGGGCGATGTTAAAAATAGGGAGATCACAGAGTGAGAGCTGCCACTGAACATGGCAAAGGGAGAACACGATCTTGCTCCCTCCAGCTCACGGTCGTGCCCCTTCTTTACTCCTGCTAGATGGAAAGGGAGGGAGGAATTGCCTCCTAACCAAGGCTGGTGCACGGGAATGATGCAAAGAATTGTTGTTTCCCTGTCCTTGAGAGTTCTTTCCCTGCTTTAGGGTCGGCAGGCAGGGTCCCTGCAGCGGCATTCTCCTGCTGGGCAAAAACTGGCCAAAAAAAAAAAAAATCTTGAGGAAGACTCAGTACTATGAAGCAAGATCATCGCTGTCCCTGTGCCAAATTCCACTGCAAAAATTGGAGAAATAGCTCAAACAAGGCAATAGCTGCCCAGAAAGCCACAGCCCAAGGAGGCTGAGAATTAGGGCAGCAGCCACCCTGGCCTGCAACAGCCCAGAGCCCAAAGCTGGCACAGAAAGCCAACACAAGCCAGGGGAGATCCTCAACACACGTCCCCAGCTGCGGGTGGAACCCTTAGGAGAAGCATCTCCATGCAGGCATTGCAGGATTTCAGCCACCCAAAACCTGGGACACTCCAAGAATGACAGACACCCCAGGAATGACAGAGAGGTGACAGCACAGGACAGACATGGCCAGGCATGGGCAGACAAACCTAGACATGACACAGAGAGCTGCCAGCCCTGCTGGGACAGCAGTGACAGTGTGGAAAGGCTGGGAATCCTGCTGACAGCCACAGGGGCAGCAGCAGGAGCAAGGAGGATTCTTTGGTGCTGTAGCAGAGACACCCAGCTGGACAACTACAACATCCCTACTCCTTCCTTTATGGATGAACTCCCGTGGCTGCTATCACAGGTAACATTTCTGCAACACAAGTCTGGACCCAACAGTGGTGAAAATGTAAATAAATTGCAGGAAGAGAGAAAAGCAGGAGCAAGAAAAGCAAATGCTGTTGTTGGGAAAGGAGATGAGTTACAGCATAAAGGTGGATGGGTAACCTTGAGAATCAAAGAGCAAAAACACCCCCAATAGCTTCTCATGGAAGGGAGAACTCGGTGCCCAGAGAGACACAAGAAACAGAGCTGCAAGCAAAGACAGGAAAGCACGTTATTATTCTGGTTTAGGAGCATTTGCCCTTGGGACACCACCCCAAACTGTATCTCAGACTCATCCCTGGAGTAAGGTGGTCTCACTCCAGTCACAGATGCCTTGAGACTGATCTTGAATGCAATCTCACCCAAGCCTGATTGAGTTATTCTCCAAAATCAAAGCACAGCTTCTGCTCCTTTTCTCAGTTTGCTAAAGTTTATTACATTTGCAAAAAATTAAATGAATGATCTGGCTGTTTCCAGACAAGCTGCATTGCTTTTGCAGCACTGGGAAAATTTTTTAAAGCTGCACAGGGGGAAGCTTTAAAAAAAAAAAATTGCAAAAATGGTGCAATACTTTCCTTGACAGCCTTCTGAGCCCCTCAGCACACAAGGTCCTACTATTACTGATGTTAAAGGAGAGTGCAAAGTACAGATGAGAGATTCATCCCATCTGGTCTGGCTCTGGCCTCTCAACAGAAATTCTGTTGGTAGAGGAGCTGACACGTGTAGCACTTGGCAGAAAACTCAACTCTGATTCTGTTGTATAAACCTTTTAGTTTTTATTATGGTAAAAAGAGGAGGGAGAGAGGGCAGAGTCCTGGGGAGTTCATATGAATTTCACGACCACCCCACTTCCTGGAGGACACTCCTTGTTTTTTGCATATGCACTTGAGTACAGATTAGTCATTTAGCACACAAAGACTTATTTTCTTTGCTGCACATCAGCCAATATGGTACATGCCAACTGCAGCAAGAACAGCAGATGAAAGCCACAGACACAGTGCTAAGCAACTTGTTCAGCAACGCTCACATTCGCATGTAAACAAGAGAGATGAGAGTTGGTTTCCCAAGGCCCTCGCCAGAGAGGAATATTGGGATAATCTCACCCTGCTGCCCTAGGGTTTGCATGTACTGTCCCTTCTGGAAAGCTGACATGTAATACACTGCCATTAAAGCCCTCAAATCCCAGTGGAATAAGGGCGCAGGGTTAAATAGAACGTTATAAACATCCTTAATGATTTCAGAAACCTATAAGGCTTCGGAGACTCTGAAACTGCAGTTTTGGAGTGCAGAGGAGGAAACCAGCACAGGATCAGGGCCAAGAAAATGTGCTTATGCTTCTTGCAGCCCTGTGTGTCAGAAAGCCTGACTTTCCCTTAAAAGAGCTGATGATTGCAAAACACTCTTTTTCTCTCCACAAAGTTACCAAAACTCATAAAATCGTTTTTTTTTTTTTACAGGAGTTTTCACCCACGAAGATGCTAAGGAATTTACAAGCTTCCCTTGCCAAGCAACACAGACATGCAAGTGTCATTGTCTCAGCTGCTGAAAAAAGAAATGAGCTCAAAGGAAAGGGATAGCTCTTTAATAGCACACAGCATTCCTGCCAGATCCAGCTCCATCAGGCTCGCCAGGACAGCTCCAGGTTCCACCAGAGGAGTCATCTGCTGTGGTGGAGGGAGAAGGAAGCATTCATTTCTGACAGAAAAATGCTACAGCCAATTAAAAATAGAAAAAAACCAAAACCTCAAATGATGAAATAAACAGGACTGGGCTTGTTCTCTCCAGCAAACCGGGCAAAAGGCATCACAGCAATGCACAAATAAAAAGGACACAGTGGCAGATTTCTACAATACTTGCTTGTCACTCCTTTACCTCCTTAAAACTTGCTTTGTTAGTCCTTCAAAGTCTTGTCTCATTAAATTCCCTGTCACTGTTCCGTTTTAAGAATGTCCTTGTTAAAAGTAAAACACCTGTAAGCCTTCCCTGGGCACTCTTGCCTCTTATTGGGAAAAAACACATGATCTTGGCACTTACTCAACCTAAGGTGACAGATGCTGCTGAAGAAAGTACGAGAGAACTTCCCAGCCTCCTGCAATTCAAAATTCTACATCCCAAGCTGTAAAAATATAGTAAAGAACAGCAAGAAAAGAACATAAAAGCTAAGGCTGTTTTCTTTCTAGTTCTGTATTTATGGAATACTTGCTTTGGAACAATGGTGATCAACATTCTCAGTTTCTGTTGTGCTTTCCTGGATATCCTTGAGTCAGCTGCAGGTACCCACATTAATCAGCTCTGCTCTAGGAATGAGATGCCAGTTAATTGTGGCTGCACTGACAGCCAGGGAGTTCTGACATGTAAGACAGATCCTACACACACACACACAGAGGCTTTTGGGACAGCCGACGCAGTTTCACTTTTGGCAATGGAATATTGCATTTGTAAAAAATACAGATTTTTTGGCTACCAATGCTAAGGTAGATGAAGTTTTGACCTCGAACACCACGGCAGTGTCGACTTAAGTACCAAGTGTGTGGGACCAGAACCAGGGCACATGGAACAGCACAAGAACCCACATCTAGAAATGGCAGGCAAGTAGCATTTACAGATTTAAGCCTCAAGAAAATCCATCCCTGGTGCGTCTCACCAAGCAGCAGACCAGGTATTTTGCTCTCAGCCCTAGCTGAGCTGTGTGCAGGCTCTGTCACACCACCTGCATGCCTCTGTCATGCCCATCCAGCTGCACTTTCAGTTTGTGGAGCTCCTCAATCTCACGGTTGTGCCTCTCCGTTTTGTGCCGCACTAAGGAGCGGTAGAAGTGGATGGTGAAGACGACAAAAATCAGACCCACGGGGACCATGATGATGGTGGACACCAGTGCTGACTGCCACCCCGCGTGGCTGCTGGGCTTCTCCACGTTGGTGGTCTCGTTTTTCAGGATGGAGCCCACTGGCAGGAATTTTATCCAGCACAGGAGCACGACTTCGGCAAGGAAAAGGAGGATTCCCAGGACGGTGGAGAAGCCCCAGGCCAGCTCGATGTAGGGGTGCATGCGCTCGTGTGGGGACTCGCTGATGGAGTTCAGGTTGTGGATGTTGCTCACGGCCTCCACGTTGGGCAGGATGCAGGTGCTGATGAGGAGGGCGAAGAGGTGCACGGCCACCAGCACCGTCGTGCAGGCGCTGAAGGCGATCAGCAGCATCTGGGGGTACTTGTACTGCACCTCCAGCTGCACCTCCACCATGGCGACCTGGGGAAGGAGCAAAGAGCTTGTCAACACCTGCTGGCTTTCCTCTTTCCAAGGCTTTCAGCCAGGAAAGCATCTTGATTCAGGAAGAACACCTAAGGTTAAGTACACACTCCAGAGCTTTTTGGAATGGCAGCCCAGATGGATCACTGCTGTCACCCATGAGGATGCAGGCACCACCTGTGCTGTGGCCCTTCTGACACTGTGGTTTTCTCAAAGAACACAGCTCTCCTTGCCACCACGAGCCACAGGAACTGCCCCAAACCCAGCACACAACAGAAGGAGCTCATTAGATGCCACGTGGGGCTGGGAGGCAGCTACCAGCCTGCTATTACCCACCATCATACTCTCTACTGACACTCCTTCCTTGCGGCTGCAGCACAGGAAGTTTCAACTTCAGGCGTGTAAAGAAAAGCAAAATCAAGCAGCTCCTCTGGCCAGTGGCCAGCCAGGCTTCACTACCCACCATGGGAAGCACACAAGCTACTTTAATGCTTAAGTTAGAAGGCAGTTATTTTAACTATGGACTATTCCCAGAACAGTTTATGTTTGTTTTTATTACAAATATGCCCAGATAAATAACTTTTAAGTTATTTATATCCTCAAATTTCTCCCTTGAGAGTTAATAATTTAGTGATACACCCAGCAAAAGTGGACAGCTACTGGCTTATGGGTGTGCTCACCAATTCAGAAGTCTGCTTCCCAACACAAGAGCTATCACGCAGCAGGTCTCTAAAGCTATTTTTACTTTAATCAAATAAAGCTTAAGAAGCAGAATATGTGCAAGAGAGCAGAAGGATCTTTTGACATCAGAACTGGAGTCCAGCTAACTGGTTTAGCACAAGAATTTTTGCAATTACTTAAGCTACCTGTGAAGCAAACCAGTACTTCTGTGTGGTGGCATCCCTGAAAGAAATGCACAAACCTTCTGCTAAGAAAAGACACAAAAGCAGTGGACAAAACTATCAAACATTCCTCTCTAGCAGCTGGCTTGGATCTGTAGCTGCACTTCATTATTTGCAGCAGAAAAGTCAACTCTCTTGGCAGCAAGGAAAACCTCTGGTGATCCCAGCTGACCTGCTGCTCCAGCACAGCACAGCTTGCTGGAAAGAAGCCCCTCTAAAAACATCATGAGAAGAAAAAGTTTCAAATCTGCACTTGATTCTGGGACACAGAAGGATTTTGCAGAACTGAGTCACAATTATGTTATCCAGACTTCACACAAGACTCCCCTGAGCAGCCATTTCAGGCTCAGTATAATCATCTGCACCACTTCCTCTGGTATTACTTGTTCATAATGTTATTTAGGCACTGGAAGATTAGGGGTATGCTCATGTTGTCCCTGTTGGAAGCCCTGAAAAGGATTAAAGGGAATGGAAACCAGCTGGCATGACTGCTGCCTTACCTACATTTGCTCTGAAACCCATCAGATCACAGTCAAGTCTGAACACATTTACCAGCAAACAAGATACAACACGTGTGGGAAAATGGTCAATCTCTACAAGTCTGAATTTTATAGCTACATCAACTATTTAAGACATTAGAGACACCAAAAATACTGTGACAGTTCTTGGGTATTCCCAGCCTCCTGTTCTGATCATGAACATGTTTGGGGTTTTACCTTTGTTTGTTCGTTTTTATTGGCTCCTGATTGCAGGTTACAGTAGTTCTTGTTGTATAGCAAAGAAAATCCTAACACAGTACTGGCTTCACTATCAATTGCAAGGTGAATTTAATTAGAACAGATTTCATGTTGCCTTGTGTATGTACCCTCTGTAGTTGCCCTTCTATTGATTTGAGAGGGAGGAGATCAGACTTATTCTCTTCTTCACTGTACAATGAATTTGTACAACACCATGGTTGCCAGTCACGCCCCATCAGCCAGGAAAACCTGCAGGTACATTGTTCATTATGGGGTACTGTAATACCCAGACACACAGCTGAATGGGAAATGTAGCTGCATGTCCAATTTATAGCTTTATATTAAAGCTGAAAGCCTGGCTGATGTCAACATATCAATTTCTGCTTGTTATCCTTCACAGTGCAGCACTTTTCAGCTAATTGGATGTTTCCTCCCAGACTAACCTATTCCCCAGGGCGAGCTTCAGCTGTGCAATGTGATGAATTTTTAACACTGACTGATGGCTCAGTAAGAGGTGTTTCAGTGAAAAACACCAACAATCCAGATAGGGCAGCAAGGCAAAAAACCAGTTCATTTAACCCAAACAAGTACTGAAAAGGTGAGTGAGCTCTTATTGCTTTACCCAGCACAGGCTGTCATGTCATTCCCTGACCGGGATAAGAGAAAGAGGACAAGCTGACATAACCCATTTAAAAATCATTAAATATGCTGCCTAGCCTGTAAAACTATTAATATGTCATGTTTTATACAATTATACTCTTCCATGTAATAGCCTCCTTTATTTTAACCTCTTCCCAGAAGCAACTTTACAAGGCTGAGCTCTCTGCCAAGCCATGAAATATTTCAGCACAGGCTTACTTTTAAGGTTGAGAATAACCCTTCTGAACTCCAGAATTACAGGATCGAGGGCTCACAATGTTTTAGAATTAAACTGCAACTAAATTACAAGCAATGATGGTGGGGTTTAGACCAGTATAGCTCAGATTGTCCACAACAAAGATGTTATTCATCTTGAGAAATTTAGACCAGGACAGAAAATATCAGGCAAAGGATTACAAATGGCTTAACATAAACCATGACACATTCACACAGATGGTTTGGCAGACTGTAAAAACAATCACTCCAGTAGATCTGTCAGGGTTTTTGTTTTGGTTTGGTTTTCTTTTAAATCAAACACATATCCTGTAGCAATTGAGTAAGTATTGAGAAGATGGATTAGCAGTAATAGCTCTTATTTCCATTGGGAAAATTATTAAGGAGGTTTCCTAAGCTCCCTCTAAATTTCCTTTATTTGCAACCTCCTCGGGGCAGATGCAGCTGCCCTACAGCCCACCTCCAAGCAGACCTGGAATGACCCACATCCTCCTGACCTGCCCCAGTGCTCTGCCAGAAATACCAGAGATGGTAACAAGGAAGGTTCACATTATTCTGCAGCCTGTCCAGAAGGGGCTGGATCAGAGCCATGGCCTGTTGATTAAATACCCATCAGCTTGCAATAATTTCAGCCAATATGGAGCTAGCTTGCATCAAACACACTGACAAGGAAGTAAATAAAGCAATAGGCAAGCCCTGGATGACATTTGTTTACGTAGCTCAATGCACTTGAGGCTTTGGGGAAACTGTTTAATAGAATCACGGAATCGTTCAGACTGGAAAACACCTTTAAGATCACAGAATCCAACCGTTACACCAGCACTGCCAAGTCCACCACTAAACCATGTCCCTAAGTGCCACGTCTACACATATTTATCTCTAAATAATTTCTTTCAACAATAGCCAAAGACGTGCTCTTATTAGAGAGTAAACATCCGTGTACTAAATTCCTGAGTACCAGTGGAGAAATAACCCAGGAGGAACAAACACCTCAGCTTTCCAATCAGCCGGGGAAAAAGCTTGCTAATAAAGAGAATTCCTTATTGCAAAAGATTTTATTTCTTACTGATTTCAGGTCTATTTGTTACATTAGGCTGGTAAGCATAACTAACACTACTTATACCTGTGTATATTCAATGGCAATTTAACAGTTCAAAGATAATGTAAAACCAGTGGTTAATTTTGTGTGTTTGCCAAGGACTTTCAGCAACTTTCTGCTGTGAGAGCTGAGAAAGCATGCTTTGTTTTCAGAGATGTGGTTCAGCCTTGCAGTGTGGGTGGGCTGCAAGCCCCTGAGTCCCAGTGGTGCCAGTGACAGCACACCACAGCAGGGACTTCTTGTGTGACCATGCCGGTAGATCAGTCCCCAACAATAGAAAAATTTAATTTAATAATCATGATAAAGAAAACAGTCTCAACAGAACTCCAGTAACCAGAGGCACACAGGCCATGCATGCGAGAGGCTTTTTAGAGTAAGAAAACTCCTGGGTGAGAGAAGTCTACAGGAGAGCACTCAAAAGAGGAGGGACCTTCTGCCCCTGCAGCACACAATCTTGGTTCCAAACCAACACAGACTCTGTGAAAAGCTTTTAAGAGCATCTTTTGCACACAGCCAGGGAGTGGAGAGCAATGACAAAGCAACTGAGCACTCTGTCTCTACTCCAGCCTGCTCCCACTGAAACCCCCACATACAGCTTTCCAGCTTCACTTTGGGTGACCAGCTTCATCATCCCAGGCTGTTGTAATGTTATGGATGATTCATGATCTAGGGGGCTGGGGGGAGGAAAAAGCAGCGGAAGAAGCTAAAATAAAACAAGAAAGAAGCTCTGGAAAGTTCCTGAGATCTGTCTTTCCCTCCCAGCTTCTGATCTGCGGGATGAAACATCTTCACATCATGTCCCACGCCATCCAGGCGCTGCCCTCTGCCCCTCTGCTGACAGACCTTGGCAACAACCAGACCTGCCCACTTCCTGAACAGGAAACCTCCCCCCAGACTGGTTTCAATTCTCACTCCCAGTAAGCAAAAGCCGAGGGGAGATAAAGGGGCTCTCACTGACACAGCATGGTGGTGTTTTAACACACAGCTCAGACAGGCCTGAGCACTGGATCACTGACTGTCTCAGTCTTGTTTATTTGCTCATTCCTGACATGCTGACATGGTTCTGACCTATGCAAATCACTTCCAAATAACACCCAAGTGCTGCACAGCAGAAAGCGAGCACCAGGGATCACTTCCAATAGGCAGCACTGACAAAAATATACCAGGTTTGGCTCCCTGCAGGCTGCAGAGCCTTCTGACACCAGGTCTGAGGCTCAGGGCCTCTTCTCACACCTCAGTGCTAGAACACGATCTCCCTGATCACGCTATGCAAACTTCACTTTGGCAGACTGTGACCCAACCTCCACCTTATTTTAGACACTGTGACCTGAGAAAACACGTAGAGAAATTAAAATAACGTTCAGGACCACAGCAACCACAGGGGCCTGGAAGTGCTCCACACCCAAGAACAGCCTCGCATGAGGGCAGCCAGCACCAGAGAGCCTCGGGGCCAAAGGAGGTCCTGGATTGTTTAGCAATGCTGCTGGAACACTTAGGATCACTTGCAGGTATGGATTAGTAGTTTTAAAGGGCTAACTTGGGAGTGTGTGGGTTGGCTGTAAGACAGCTCATACATCCCTGCTGCAGTGAGAGAGCCAGCCCCAAACCTTGCAGCAGCAGCCAAACAGAAGCCCCCAGCAGATGCCTCCTGTCTCTTCAGGAAACAACTCCCTGCTTCCTCCCAAGAGGAAAACACTGATTTGAGGCAACCCAAAAACCTTCACAGTTCAAAAAGCTATAAAACACACGTTACCATTGCAAATCCAGAGAGCAGAGCAGAGGTTCTGCTGGAGGCCTTCAGTTTAGCTCGGCTCAGGTACAATTTTCTCCAGGAAAGGGCTTGAACAGAGTGGTGGTTGGACGTCACCAATTCCAGGTAGCTGCGCCGGACCCAGTCCCGATAATCCATGCCCTTTGTGCCAGGCTCAGAGCAGCAAGCAGGAGTGGAAGGATCCACTGGAACGTTTAATTCAGAGCTCATGATGAGAGAAATGCTGAGGGAACAAAACAGTCATGTTCAAGAGGGGGTGGTGGACAGAATGAGCATCAACTACTGGAAAAGCTGCAGTTGAACAAAGTTGCCCTTGGTCAGTGGAAAATGATGGACCAAATAACATCATACTTGGAAGACAAAACTGAGAAAGGACCATCCAAAATTGCCAGGAAGGCTGCACAGCATTTGGATTTTCATTTCAAAGCAGGCACCTCGACTTTGCCCTTTAATTCTTTCTCACTCATAAAAAATTGTTTTACATAAATACACTTGGCCCCCATCTTATCTTTGCCTTGAGTTGACAGTTCATTTCTCAGTGCATCATGGGCTGGCTCCAAATGCATCTCAAGGGTACCAAACACCAGTTGAGGAGCTTTTTGCTCCTTCTTTGGACACCATTCCTCCTGGGTTACAACGTGGGGTTTAACCACACTGTGTATTCTACTCCCATCCACATTATTCCTGATGAACTGTTAATGGCCGCTTGCAGGAGCTGCACAGTTCACACCCGACCCCCCGGGCTGCAAATGGGGTGTTAGATAAGGGAAGGAGGCAAACCCTGCAGGGCAGGGTGGTGTTTCTTTGTCTTCACAAATTGTGGTAACTACACCCAGCCCACGGGGGTCATCCCTGCCAATGGGCAGCTGTAACGACCCAAGCCATAAAGGACTCCCCAGGAATATCCTGTGACTCATAGGATCACACCATTCCATTGTGAAATTCCCCGCTCTGGGGGAGGTACTGAATCTTCCTGCTTGAATCTGACCGTGTGGAATCTGGGCAGTGTGGGGATATGAAAACCACCACCACTGGACATCCAGGGGAGGAACTGAACTTCCACAGGAGGACCAGACCATCCACAGGACCACTGCTTTCGAGAGAACGGCAACCATCACTTCAACAGCACTGCAATCACTGCTTAATCAGACTGCAACCACCACCCTGACCAACACGGGCCAGCCTGTACTCTGTGGGTTTAAGCCAGTTTTTCTGTATCATTGCATCTATTTTAATCTTTCTATTAAATTGTAACTCTGACCTGAAGCCTCTCTCAAGGTATTTGTGCGGAGGTTAATCTCACCCCCTGCTTTACTTTCAAACCAGCACACCAGTTTTTCTCAGTTAAACCACTGCTCATCAAAGCTCAGTTTAGATGGGCACAGTTCTCCCCTAAACTCCCCCAATAATCACAGAGGTGAACGCTGTGAAGAGTTAGCAAATGAACTTCCCAAGCTTTTGCAGTGGGAAGTTAAACTTCCTGAGCTGCTCACACTCCATTCATCAGCCACATCTGCCCAAGAACCCTGTTCCCTTACTTCCACCAGTGGCTGTGAGCAGAAGGAAAGGAAAAGGCAATTCCAAGGGGGAAAGCAAGCTGCTTCCAGGAAATTCCATCATCTTCTGATTCAAGGGATTACACTGCGAGATGTATGAAAGCAGCAAGAGTATTTCAGGTGGTGGAAGCCTTACAGTACCATGTCCCCAGGCTGCTGCCAAATGGCTCTGGTGATCCCCAGACACAGAATATCCAGGGAGTGTCTTGTGCAAAAATTTCTCAACTCTGACAGACATCTGAAACTAACTCAGCCTTCCAAAGAATGGAAACCACGATTCCTTGTTTAATCCCATCACTCACAACTCCACCACTGAGCACTGTGGTGGTGGCAGACAGAGACACCAGAGCTGCACCTTCTGGCTACTATAAAACACTCACCAGCTCCCAGGAGGAGGAGATGATGCCCAGAATCACACCTGGTGTGGCACTAATTAGTCCTAACACCACCTCTCAAGGTCACAGGCACCTTTCAGCCCTGCCTGCATCCCCACAGCTCCCCATGTACAGGGACCACATGGGGACAGCTAATAAAGCCAAGACTGCTGGGAAACTTGGAGAAGTGGTAAAGATCAAAAGGACATCAACTGCCCACAACTCTGAATGCTGTTGCTAAAAGGGAAGGAAGCTGTTTCAGGCACAATAACAAAGAATAGCAAATAAAGCACTGCAGGTCCAAGATTATCCCTCCTGAACATGGGGAGCTTTCAGGTTCCGGTCCCCTTAGACATAACAAGGATGGCAGCACAGGATGATTCCTGGGCAGATTTTGACAAGGACATTATTACAGCCCCTGGAACACTCCAGGAAGGCTCCTGACCTGCTCAGGAATTTTCAAAATATTTAAAAGTAACAAAAAAAATTCCCCCAAACAAACAAACAAAAAAGAAAGGCATAATTGAACATTCATGCCATAATAAAAACAAGAAGAGAAACAATAACAGGGACAAACCTTCCTGCTTGATCCGTGTTTCCAGAAAAGGCAAGAATCACCTATTTTACAGAATAAAAAAGCCTCCTGGGAGCACTGGAGGAAGAAACAATATGTGAGCAGCAAAATGAAGCTGTTTCCTGTGCAATATCCTGTGTGAATCCTGCAATCTATAGTGGAGTGAATTCACTCCCTTTGTCCCCAGCTGGGACAGCCATGGCCTCTACTCTGCCATTTATTTTCATAAAATACTTAGGAACTTTCTATGTAGGAAACTTTGACCCCGGCACAAATTCCATTAAAAAGACAAATGAATTCAGAGGTTACAGAGAGAGGGCAAGAGAACCCAATCACATCTGCTTCTTCCCTTAGAAAAATAAGCTAAAAATACCACAAGGCTGAATTTTTGCTGTGGAGCAGCTCAAGAGATGTTCTCAAATAAGTAAACAGTTTTAGAAAGAAATCCATAAACACAAATGTAACCCAAAAGAGCAATGCCAGGAAGTCAAACTCACCTTGCTGGCTATGGACATGGAGGGACTGGGTGGAGGGCTCCAAGGGCTGAAACACAAGACCAAAGAAGCATTTTACATGTGTTGTAGCTGGAGCAGTTTTACTCTGGAAATACTTTTCAGCCTGTCATCTGCATCAGCGGAGGCTTATTCTGGAGATTTTGCCTTCCTGCTGTGCAAAGTTAAAGGTTTAGGACACTTGTTTTTACTGAAATAACTATCCTACAGGGTTTGACTGCACAGGGCTGTTGAGTTCTGGATGAGGAAGGAGGAATTCTCCAGGAGACCTTTTCCTCAGGCAGCCCTGGCAAAGTCCATCCCAGCTGTGCCTTCGCTCACTTCCACTGCACCACCGACGCATCTGACCCCACTTCATCCCGCACTGGGAGGACAGAAAGCTCTCTGTGATTGCTCCCTTATGTTGATTTTCTTAACCTGCCAAGTGCTGTCCTTTGGAAAAGGGAAAACCTTTGCCTCCTCACATCTCAGTGCACGGATGGGGATTTCTCCACAGCTGGGAATGAAGCCGACACCAGCAGGGCCGAGCTGAGCCGAACCCCCTCCCACCACTGCTGTGCTCAGACGCCCATAGTGCGCTGTCTGCAGCACTGGCAGCTCCTCTGCCTGGTGACGGGATGCCAGCCCCCTCCTCAGCCCCAGGTTTCTGCCCCACACCCCCAGACTGATCTGTGGGTTTGTGCTAGTCCCTTCGTTCCCCGAGTAACACTGTTCAAGCTCCTGCAGGCCATGGCTAAAACAAATCCCTGTTACTCCACCCTGATGAGCTCACGTTGTCTTTGCGTGAAGGAAAACCCCTTCTCTTCTGGCTTGGGACTCCTCCAAGCAGCACTGCTGGGGTGTCAGAGTACCCAGGCAGGGTGTGACCACCCTGTAGCAGCAGGGGATCACCTCCCAGGCAGGATGTGACCCCCTGGTCGCACTACCACAGCTGGGATCCTCCTCACAGGGCACCTCCTTCCCAGACACCCTCAGCACACGGTGGCCAGGGGGCGATTCCACATAGCCAGGATCTCCCCTCCAACAGCAGCCTCAGACAGGAGATCAATCATGCCAGCTGAGACCCACTCCCAGCGAAGAGCTTTCCCTCCAGAAGCAACCTGGACAGAGGATCTTTCCTAGGCAGGACACAACCTCCTACCACTGCATCCTCATTCAGCATCCCAAGGATCCTCCACAACTCCTCAGGCAGGATGGGACCCAACCCCTCGATCCCGTCTTCCAAAAGCACCCTGGGCCAGCGTCTTCCCTGCACGGTATGCTGGAGGTGTCTCCCTTACAGCACTCCAGAGCATCCACGGGAGCTGCCCTGCCTTCTGCATCCCATGGCACCTCCGAACAGGACGGGATCCCCTTCTTCTCTGCCCACAGTGCACCCTTCTCATTCACACCCTCCTTCCGGCTGCCCCCAGTTAGGCAGGATGAGGCGCGCATCCCAGCACCACCATCCCAGCACGGGATTCTCCCCGGCCGGGCGGGACGAGGCGCGTCCTCCCCACACCGCCCCGGGCAGGGGAATCCCTGTTCAGGCAGGAGAAAACCAACTCCCCCCAGCATCCTGGGCAGGACCAGACCCCCTCCTCCCGGAGCCCCGCGGGCAGGAGATGCTCCCACCTCTGCAGGACGAGCTGGCCACCCCCCAGACACGCCTGAGGGGATGCCGCCCGCTGCCCCAGAGCGCGGGCCCCGCTCGGGATGAGCCCCCTGCAGGCGGGATGCGGCCCCGGGGGCGGCGGGGACGGGCCGTGTCTCACCGCGCTGCTGTCCGGGGGCCGTGCCGGGAGCCCCGGGAGAAGGAGCGGAGCAGGAGCAGGATCGGGACCGGGAGCTGGAGCGGGAGCCGGAGCCGCCTCCGCCGCTGCCACGGCAACGCCGGGCACCGGCCACGTGACCCGCAGGAAACGGGAGGGCAGCGCCGCCACGCCCCCGCACGTGACCGCTCGCTCATTGGCCCGCGGCCCCTCTGGCCACGCCCTCTCGGCGGCGGGGGCGGGGCCTGAGGACGCGACCCCCGCCCTGCGGGACCCGGCGCCCCCCGCCCCTCCCGGGGAACCGGGGCCACGCTCGCCCCCTGCGCCCACGGGGGAGCCGTTTGGCGGGGGTCCGAGGGTCTCACGAAACGGGGATGGACTCAGCGGTTACCGGGAAAGGGCATCCCCCCGGCACGGAGCCGTTCCCGCAGCGCTCCGGGGTCCCGCTGTGAGCCTGCAGCTGTAGGGGAAAAAAATGTCTGCGGATCCCTAAAGTAAACCCACCCACTGGTAAAGATGTTAATGGGTCTGGACCTTGCGTTACGTCTAAATCTTGCCACAGAGAAGGTATTGGTGCAATGGGATGCAAATGTGCTTTTATTACAATTATTAATTATACAGCAAAAAGTCGCCACTTACATAAGTCAAAAGGCAGCGCTGCTCTGCCTCCGCCGGGCTGAACCTCCTCCGACTGAGCACTGGCTCCCTGCGAATCCCGACTGCTATCTCCCTGCAATCCTCCGCTATTGACTCAGCAGGAAATCCTGTATAAACCCATCAAAAGGATAGGGACAGCCTTATGGGAAAGAGAGGGAGTTCCTTCCCTGGAAATGAGATAAAGAAAATGCTGAAAGGCAGCACAATGGGTCAGCTTTATCACAGGGTAATCCCATCTTCCTGAATTCCATTCTGCCTGGGGGAGGGAACAAAGGAAAACAATTCTTAAAAACCTAATAAAGAGACAGATACACGTTATCCTGAGTGTGCTTTTCACCTCTGAGAGCAGAATACCCGTGCTGGGTTTCAGCACAATGCAGTCTCTCGGGGTCCCACATTTGCACAAACACATGTAGAAATGGAACAAAGCAACCTTTAGCCCTTGAGGGTTAATCTCCATCAGAGAAAGGAGAAGGACTTCTCTAGAAAAGAACCCAGAGCACGAATTTAGTGTAAGCAGGTCAAACTCCTTGGCAGCTTCAAGCCTTTAAGTTATTACTGCTTTGTCGGTGCCCTATTTGGAATAGGAAGCAGTTGTAGAGCTGTTCCTGATTTTACTATGCACGGGAGCACTTCCCCTTTTCTACTCCATGGATGAGGTTTTCCCCGTTTTGAGGTCACACAGTATTTACATTTTATTCTAAACGAAGAAACATCCCTTGAAAGCTCCCTTTGAAGTGCTTTGTATTCTCAACGAGCTCGTACTGCCAACGAACAACCACAACACGGCAGAGTGTTTATGGGAATTCACAGCTACACCTACCAAATGCAGCTCCTACTGCTACACTCAGCCACCCCGGCGAGACAGAGCGAGAGGCAGATGCCACCTTCACCAACATGCTCTCTTTGCTGTTTATGGATTTCACCTACAAACTCAGCATTCCCAGAAAACACAGCATGAATAATTCATTGCAGGCATCTTAGGGTAGCAAGATGAGGCCATACAACCTGAATTTGTTCAATCACCAAGACAAACTCAAGTTCACCTTCCTCATGGCTGAGGGAAGCATGTCCTCACTCAGCAGCATCTGCTCTGCTTAATGCAGAGCATTAATGCACTTACCCAGCTCAAAGGCCTGACAAGCTCAGAGGCAGAACATCTTTATCTGTGAGACTCTCAGTTCTTCTCTGCCCATAAAAAACCCTCACGTTTTTGTGGCTCATCCTACAACACAGCATCCACAGGGTTTGCCTGCCTTAAGGGGGATTTCATGTGAAGCAATGCTCACAACTAATCTCTCCACAGGGAAAATGGACCTTGCATCTGAATGAAACACCACCACAACTTGTAGCACCTGCCCTTGTGGAGATTGAGCAGAAAACAGTTCCATGCAGATGTCTAACCTGGGGGCAGTGGGGATATGGACCTGGCAGGTCAGAAGCTATTCAGCTTTGAAGCCCTTGGATATATACAGGAGAACTAAACATAAACATCACTTGCACTTGGTCACATCTTGCTTCCCAGCCACCACGGTAATACCATGGAGAAACTATTACATAAAGCCAGCTCAGACAAAATGCAGGATTTCTGGCAGCACTATTCAACAAAGGTGAAATCTAAAAAGAGATTCTCCCTTTTTACTGTTTTTGCTTAAAATAATTTGGCATTAACCAAGGCTTGAGAAGAAGTAGCACCGCATTCAGGATGCAAGGCTCTGGGATGAGCATGTCTGAAAGCCAGCAGGCACTTCTAATTAAAGATACACTGAAGAGACAAAAACCAGAGTTACAAGTAAAACCACCACTGCATATGCTTTAAGCACCAATAAGTAAATATATAGAGATGTTATGATTCCTACTGGGGAATCCAAAGTGCAAAGCAGAGCGCTCAAGCAGAGAGAAAGGCAGGTGTCATGACAAGAAGCTGAGCAAAAGCAAAATGATTCCATTCCAAGCCTTTCTGCCACAGGATTCAGAGGCTTTACATAGTCTTTGGAAAAAGGTATTGTTCCAATTCAAAAGCAAAAAGTAAGTGACATGCAGCTAACACCTTTTTCCATATTTTCATGTGTGCCACATCACTTGAATGCTTTGCCCCTTCCTGCAGCACCTCTTTATTTTACTGAAATCCTCTTCCAAACAGAAAAATAGAAGACAGAACAATCCAACACATCCCTTTTATTAATTTAGAAAACATGGAAGAAAAGCAATAGGGAAAGTTTTAGCATTAAAAAAGGGATCCTGATTAAAAATCTATAGAACTTGTCTAGCAACATAAACTGATTTCTTTGGGTTAGAGATGACCCCATACAAAACCCCAAATGCAGAACACTCACAGTGCAGGAGAGTCTGGCTACAGACCACTTTTCTACTTCAGGTTAAACTCTTCCCCTAGATTCATGTATCCCACTGCTACCAGCTTCAAGATAAGTAGAATACGTAGCCTTCACAGTAATATTTCCCTTAAATGGTAATAGTTATGTTTTAGCTTTCAGACAGAAAAACACTCTGGGCCATTTTAGAAAGAACTCTAGGGTCATAGAGACTTATGGCTGACTCTTTAGAGCAAACTTAGAGCAGACTGCACAGCAGTTATACAAGCAATTAAGAAAAAAATCTCTTATTTGGCATTTCTCTATCATTTTCTCTCAGGCCTGTGACTTGAAGGCCATGCCCCGTTAAGCAGATGTAACGTACGCCAATGGGTTCTGCTTGGCTGAGATGAAAGACTTTCATGCTCCTGAATATAAAGCAATGAACAGCGTTTCCAGCTGTCCCTGGAAGGCCTCATCCTCTTCCCATCACAAAACTTGGCTCTTCAGCATCATCTTCCTTCTCTTCCTCCTCCTTGCTATCCTCTTCGTCGTCATCCTCGCTGCTTCCTTGCTCTTGGGATTGCCCAGGTTCTACAAACACAAACAGGATGAATGGATGAGGTGTTCCCACCTGGCTCCTCCTCAAGCATTTTACAACAAAACACTCTCAGGTGCTCAGCAAATGTGGATTAGGTCAGGCTAATTAGCACGGATGGGTAACATATTCCCTTGTGTCTTCCTTGTTAAGCATCTCACGACTAAGCAGTCCTAGATACTCAGGGAACAGAATCAGGTTCTATTAATTCTACCCAGTGATGAGGAGCTCAAAATATCAAATTCTCCCTTGGGAGAATTTGTGCTCCCTTATCTCCATTACCAAGTCCATCATTAAACAACTCCACCTCCTCTAGAACATTATTTCTTTCTAACAGAGACAGTCAAACACTGAGGTGACAGATTATCTCATTCCCAATCTCACCTCTGCAGGCTGGAATTAATTTTGAAGTATCACACAGAGCACTGGGAAGCCACAGACAAAATTCAGTATATTCCTACAACCTATCCAAGTTCACAGAAGCTCCACGAGGTACCATAAACTTTTACAGACTGTTTGCTATACTGCCAGTACAGGATCTCATTAAGATATGCCTAAGGTTAACAAGGGTCACAGAAAACTTGTGAAGTCAGCTAAAAAAACAGGAAACATCAACTAGAAATTAAATAACCGATAATAAAAATGAGGTATAGCATAAAGTGGGAGCTGAATCAAGAGCTATTTTTCTGCTCTCTCCTGCTCCTCAGGCCCAGTCGCACTCTCAGTGTCCTGACCAGTTCACGCAGGATTTAGGCTCAGTGGTCTGATGCCACCGCGTGGTGAAGCGCTGAACTTTGAGCGTTTACTGGGAGTTTGTTCATTAATGCAACCTTAACAGCTGACCTCATTCTCTGCCAACCCTCATTCTTAATGTTTTTACTACAACAAAGATGAAGCGTGGAAATTCAGAGGTTTAATTAATTCATTCTAAAAGGAAGACTAATTTTTGCCTGCCACATCCAACAAACACACTTTAATTCATTTGCAAAAACTCTTCAGATCACAACCCAGGGCACACAAAACTAAAAAAAGGAAAGGCTGTTCTCAGTCCAAAAATGGTTAAAAGTGGCTTCTCTCTCCCTTGATACTATTATTTTACACAGAGAACCACAGACTGTAAAGAGTTAAGAACTGTTACAAAGACCAGTGAGTTTGGATTCTGTCTTTCAAGAACTTGTGCCAAACAAAACCACTCCAGCCCCACAGCTGGCACAGGGCAATTCCACACCACAGTGCCAGTCTCTGATCCAGCTTTCCTCTCTCCCAGCCACTCCCAAAGGGATGGGTATTCTGTTTGCTCACTCAAAATGAAGAAAAATATGTTGACTCATACTTAAATTCTCCTCCCAGTTACAATTCATAAATGAGTAGCTTTAAAAAAAAAAAAAAAACCAGACCAAAACAAAACACCCAAAAAATTCACTCTGCTACATTCACTTGCTGTCACAAGTAAAATTAACCTAACAATTTGTCCTCCCATGTTTACATGGGAGGCTGGCAGTGGTTCAGCTGAAACAGATCCAATTCTGAAAAGCAAAGCACAAATAAGGTAGAACTGTCAGGCAAGTCACTGTTCCAGCAGAATTACCAGAACCTGCTGTAACTCGAAGATTAACCATTTGTGTGCTAAATCACAAGGGACAACTATTTGAAAGAGTAAGCTAAAACATTCTCACTGAAAAGAAGCAACGAGTATGCAGAAGTTTGAGCTAACAGCTACACTGACATTGCTGAACATGAACTTTCAAGACTGCAGGAGAACAGAAGCAGTCAGGTTTTTCACCTTTATTTCTATGAAATAAAATAGTCCTGTGGAACATATGGTACCAAGGTGGCTCAATTTCTTACACAATTATAATTCAGTTTCTTGCTGCCCAAGCTGTGCATTTTTTTTCCACCTGTTTTCCCATACACATTCAAAATAAACTTTAAAAAAGCACAGCCTTGAACAATCCTGCCTTTCTGAGTAGCTGAGGTTCTGAATTTGCAGTTCATCAGAATAGCTGGGGCAAAACATCCACAAACTCAGATTCCAGAGTTTGCTGTCCAAAGTTTCCCCTAATAAATGGAAAATATTTACAAACAGCCAAGTTATTTTTAAGATTAAATCTCAACATAGATGGCTTTCAAAGAGGATTTTGAAACATTAGCTAAAATAACAAGCTTAAGGCTCAGGCTTTAATCCATGTATTGAGAATGCTTGGGACGGGGGGTGGAACAAAACCTTCCAAGCTTCAATGAGGGAACAGAACCAAGTCCTGAGAAAAGTAAACTAAATTTCACTGACCTTTTTCCTGCTTCTTTTGTTCAAGTTTATTTTTCTTAGCTTGCAGTTTCTTCTCTTTTAACTTCTGCCTATAAAGCAAAGAAAAAAGACTCTCTGGCAAATTCAATGTTGTAAAGCTTCTGCACATTCATACACTGATAAAGGACATATTGCATACAACTTGGAAAAACTGATTTCAGAAGAGAAGTTCAATTTAAATTTGGCCTCAACTGAAAATTCAGCAAGAGCAAACTTAGCACATGAGCAAGAGAAACTTTTCTATGTTGTTTTTAGATTAATGGATTTTTTAAAGTCTTTAATGACTCTACTGTAACCAGAACTATGATACACAAGAATCTCCAAGAACACAGATGGAACAAAAATGAAACTGCCCCCACATTTTAGCTACCTAGGCTAATAAACACAAAGAGAAAATGGTGTTAAAACCCAGACTGCAGAAACTGAACACTGGGGGAAAAAATCACCAGTAATATATACCTCAATTGAAGAAAATAAAAATAGTGTTGTATGCTCTGACCTTCCTCTTTTGCTGTACTTTCTCAGGATGTCAGGCCCTAGGAGCAGCACTAGGGGTACAAGGGAATTTGAATTCATAAAACCCAGCTCCCTTTGCCCAGCAAAGGCAACCTGGCAAGTTAATGGCAGATACAGGCAGAGCAGCCTGGTATTCACATGCTCCTCCCTCAACAGGATAACTGAATTATCTTGAAACAGAGAGCCAG